AATGTAATCTATTGCATAACTTGCACTTATTGCAAAAAGATATACATCGGCGAAACAGGCAGAAGACTAGGTGACCGATTCCGAGAACACCTTCGAGACGTGGAAAGGAATGACAAGGACACATCGAAACCAGTCGCTAGACATTTTAATTTACCTAATCATTCTAAGCAACATATGGCAATCTGCGGTCTTTCCTTGCACTTAGGTGGCACGGAAAGCCGTAAAAATCTTGAACAAAAGCTCATCTTTCAAACCGGCAGTCTAAATCCCACAGGGATCAATGAACGCTTTTCATTCCACTAATTTATTCATGTTTTTCTCGTTGCCATGCACCCACCAATAACGTAGCTCCATTTTCTGCCTTTAAAAGCACACACAACCCACAATTCCTCTATTCGCTCCGACGAAGGGCTAACGCTCGAAACGTCAGCTTTTGTAATCATTACGGTGGCCAATTTACCATTTCAACTTTGTTGATATATCCAAATTATTTCGTTACTCCCACCGACACAGCCCCAAACAGTTTCTTTCGAAACTATCAGCCTTTATTCATTTATGTACGAATATAGTTTATAGCTGACCACTTGCAGCCCAGAGGCTGAATTACGGGCGCAGTGTAAGGTTGAGAACAGACGTCAGCATATAAATGAGACTACTGTGCGGCAACTATCAGGGTACGTAACTTATCTGGAAACATGTTTCCCGGCCTGGAACCGGTGCAAGATATAGTATTCCTGCCATAGTTGGAAGTATTCTTACGAAATTACGAAGGATGAATAAGTTATGCTGATTTTGTTACGCACAGATACAGCTGGGATGACGTACTTGCACGAACGTAAACACCAACTTTTCTTCCTCTTTTGATGACAACATACGGCTTGACTTGATATTACAGTCACAGAAAGTAGTGATAACCACCGGGAGTTATGCGCTGAACAGCTCTAGCCTTCTCCAGCCAGAAACCAAGTGCAACCAAGAAACAAAGACGGAAATATCTAGCCCCTTTGAATAAGTTTAACTTACCAGTTTTCGAGGGGGTTTTGGAGTTCCATTGGCTCTGGGAAAGCCGGTCATCGTTTTTCGCAGAACGAGCCACTTCAGATACAGTAGCTGGTGTAGTTATGGGAGTGTTCCCTGTCAATGAGACAGGTTGAATGTCTTACAAGCTGTCTACCTAATGAATATCTGTTTCTAGGACCAAACTGGGTTTCTGTTGGACTTGTAAGTAACATTTCTTTAAATCCGATTGTGATTTTCAGACCACAACTTGGGTTTCCTTTCTGTGTCGATGGAGTTTTGCAAGTTGTCCACAAGAAAATCTGCGAGAAGCTAAAACTTGAATAAAAAGAATATTAGATCTTCATACCTTTTGCTGCAGCCGAGGATGAGTTGCCTTTCTCAGTAGAGGACTTTTCATCTTTTGTATTACTAAGATGGAATTCTTCCGCTGATCGACAGGTAACGGCTACAAAAGTTGAAAAGCATTAAATCTTTGACGTGCTAATATTGCCTCTTCTCAGTTCAAGAAGATTTTGTGACAAAAAACTTTCCCCCTAATATTGTGAAACAGTTTTAATTGCAGCACCAACAGCGATGATTTTTGACTATTCAAATGAGTTCGGGTAAATCTTATTGGTCAGAGTATATCCATGTACACTTTTCTAAAGCCACAATAAAAGACGAGAAGACACAAAATATCATTAGAGGACTCATCATACGTATTTTCATCATCCTTGGCGTGGCATTCTTCTGCTGATCGAAGGGAACCGACAACAAAAACTTAAAAAGCACTTAAACTTTTACTAAGTCACTGATATGGAACATAATAAATGAATACTATAGCAATATATTTTTAAAGAATTCATACCTTTTTCCGCCTCGGAGGATGAATTGCCTTTCTCAGCCTGGGACTTGACCTTTTTCTTAGCAAAGGACACATGAACATCATCTGGCTTTTCGTCATCCTTAAGATGGCATTCTTCTGTAGATCGACAGGCACCAGTAACAAAAAATTAAAAAGCAGTAAAACACTAAAACCTCGACGCGCGTATTAATTTTTT